ACAAGAAGTCAATAAAATGAAATCCTAAATTACAGCAATAATTGTTAGGGGTTAATTTGTTTACGGATTTGGTAACATCGGTAATCCAATCTATAAAATTCAAATTAAAATCGCCCAATATTATTATTTTATTGCTTTCAAAATTTTATTTTCTAAATCACTTTCAACGTATTTTACGGCTATTTAACATACCCCGTAGCTACTCAAGCGCTGTAGTGGAGAGTTTTTGAACTGTTGTTTACTGCTTACAGATGGACACTTTCAACTATTCGCCTATGGGAGTTGGTACTATAATTAATATTTATATATAATATAATATTATATAATATTATACTTACTTCTACACTCCATAGTCTATTCAAAGATATAGTAAACAAGATTGTGCACTGAGACGTTAAAAACGAGCCCGAACGAGAGAGTGCTAAAATGTATTGTGTCCCTTTCTACTCCAGTCGCCATATGATTTGATATTGTTGAACTTATGATGGACTTCTGTAGGAGGATGAATACTTATTAGAATGTGTAATGTTTATATAATATTTTGTTCTAGGGCAAAAACTATAGATATAAAAAATGCAATTATGTTTCGTGTAATAGTTATTTAGAATTGTATGAGCTATATCAAAACTCCTACCATAAAAAAATTATACTTGCAACCTTTGGACAGGAACGCACTGCAACTTAAAATCCTCTCCTGTGGCTCATTTTTTCCGTTTAGCAGAGTTGTATTAAAAATTGGACTTCGTGTCAATGGAACAGAGTTATTTATTGTGTGTGTTCTACCATTTACAATATCTTTGTGTCTACTATGGATGTGCTTCGATATACACTGTGACCACTAGAAGGTGTGACTTCAATTCAGTGTACTGATAAGACGCAAGGCGACCCCTGCCACGCTGTCCGTGAATTTCAGTAATATCAGGGGATTTCACTCGAACCTAAATGCCGTCCACTACCATCTCAAAATGGCGAAGCCAGCTCTGTTCTTTCTGACCGAGACGCAGGTGTCCTTTCCGGCTGATGCTTCGTATCTCTCCTACCCCGGGTACAGACTGGAATACTCCTTTGTGCCTCGGGCTGGAGTTTGCACATATGTCAGAGAGTACATCTGTTCTCGACGTCTCAGCAGTCTTTAAGGGTCGGACCTGTCTTTTTTTTCTTTGACTACGCGTAAACAGCGACGACCATCCGCTCGTCTACTGATGCCCCTATAGGTCCCATAGCGGTAATGCCGAAACAGACCGACTCTTCGATCACGTCCAAATGGCTACAGATTCGTTGCTACAGCAGATCCCCTCCGCAGAGAACGTGATCCTCGGCAATTTTATCGCCCACCACGTCGAATGGCTTGGTTCAAGTTTAACCGATCATGCGGAGAGATCTGTTCATGATTTTGCCTTGAACTGGTCTGACACAACTGGTTATTTCACCTACGCGGATTCCAGATGTGGAGGATCATGCACCTTCCCTGTTGGACCTTCTGCAGACCTCTCATCTCTCTCATTAAGGCTCCTCTTGGCTCTTCGGATCATTGTCTTGTCCAGAGTGTGGTGCGCTGAAATCGCGGTTGCATTCTGTAGGCTGCCGCCGTGTTTGCCACTATAGATCAGCAGATTGGGATAGAATGCGGTCTTCCTTTGCATCCTACCCTTGGGGCCGGGTTGTTTCTAATTCTGCCGCTGATGTGGTACTTGTTGTTGGTGTTGTATGGGCCATGCAACTTTTTATTCTTTCCTCTGTTGTGCCCATCGGCACTCCTGTAAAATAGCAGCATGCTATAAGCAGGAGTGCTACTGGGCCTGGGCTGATGCATCAACGTCCCGGGATGTAAACACCAATACCCTAAAAAAGAAGTATAACTCCGCCTCCAGTTCCTTCAAAAGTCATTGCCAGGGCAAAGTCAGAGCACATAGGCAGAATTGGCGAGAAACTAGTCCGCCTTCCTTATGGAACCCGTGCATTCTCGTTCAGTCTCTCGCCAAGGCTGTCCAAGGAAACTTCTGTCAGCCATCTCTTCCATCTCTGCACAGGGATGACGACTCACTGGCCCATGCCGCAAAGGACAAAGCCAATCTGGTAGGCTCTTTCTTTGTGTCCAATTCGACTCTCGATGACGGGGAGAGCACATCGCCGAACATCCCGCGGGGTGAATGCTCCATGCCGAATATGCGGTTCACACAGCGTTCGGTTTGCAAAGCTCTCCTCTCCCTGGACATCCACAAGTCGGATGGGTATGACGGAACCCCTCCCCCCTGATGATGTGTGCTCCAGAGTTAGCACCAGTTCTAACGCGTCTTTACTGGTACTCCTACTCCCTAGTCCCAAAATTATGGAAAACGCCTTCCATCCACTCAATCCCTAAAAAAGGCGACCGCTCAGATCCACCAAACTACAGGCCTATCGCCATCACCTCCAAAATAATGGAATCCATTGTTAACAGCCAGCTCATGCGGTACCTTAAGGATTACCACCCGATTAGTGACCACTAATACAGTTTTCGTCGGGGTGGATCAGCTAGTGATCTTCTGTTCTATCTAACTCATCGATGGGCAGAGCCAGTAGAGTCCAAGGGGGAGGCATTGACCGTTAGTTTGGACATTGCGAAGGCCTACTATCGGGTTTGGCACAAAGCGCTTCTGTCGAAGGTCCCTTCCTATGGGCTACCCGAGAAATTCTGCAAATGGATCACGAGCTTTCTTGCAGATCGGAGCATCAAGGTAGTTGTAGATGGTGCATGCTCCGATTACAAGCCCATTAATGCTGGCGTCCCACTAGGCTGCGTGCGTATCACCAACGCTGTTTCTTCTGCATATCAATGATATGTTGCAAATCGGTAACATTCTATGCGGATGACAGCACTCGTGATGCTCTGTACACCGTCGATGCCAATATTTCTCGAGGAAACGTCTCCGAGTACCGGGATAAACTTGTGTCTGAAGTCAAGTCTTTGCTGAACAAAGTCTCGGATTGGGGGCGACTAAATCTAGTCCAATTTAACCCTCAGAAAACACAAGTTTGCGTGCTTATCGCTAAAAAGAACCGCTTTGTCGTATTTTCTAACTTTCAAGACACTCCCCTTGTTGCCTAATCCAGTATCGGGGTCCTCGACGTCAACAGATCGAGTGACGTGCAGTTTTCGTGGTCACTTGGAAGAGAACGCCAAATTGGCCTCTAAAAAGCTTGGCGTATTCAGCAGGGCGGGTTAGTATTTCATGCCGGGACACCGCCTGCAACCTTACAAGGTGCAGGTTCGACCACACATGGAATATTGTTCCCATCTCTGGGCTGGGGCTCCCCAGTGACAGCTCCTTCCACTTGACCGCATCCAGTGCAGAGCACGGAGGCGGTCAAGTGGAAGATCAGAATCGTCGACGACGGAGTGCTTTCCGATCGGCTCGATTCATTGGCGCTGCGAAGAGATGTTGCATCTCTTTGCATTTTCTTTCGTATCTACCACGGGGAGTGTTCTGAGGAATTGTTTGGATTAATCTCAGCCGCCAAATTTCATGAAAGTACTAGGCGGCAAACCTCCCGATACCACCCTCACCATCTGGATACTTGGTGGTCCACCACTGTACGTTTCACTAGGAGTTTTCTTCCGCGTACGACCTCTCTATGGAATAGTTTACCGTCGGCGATTTTTCCGGATCGATACGACCTAGGGACCTTCAAGAAAGGAGCTTTCTAAAAGGCTGGCAACGCACCTGCAATTCCCCTGGTGTTGCGGTTGTTCTTGGGCTGCGGTAGTCACTTAACATCAGGTGAACCGTATGTTCGTTTGCCCCCTCTCCAATAAAAAAGAGCCAGTATTTGGGATTGGAAACTCTAATGCATCTGCGGAATTTGTTTGTAATGCCTTAAATGACGAAACCATTAAGCTATATTTTTATTTCCTTGATTATATATTACATTCACAAATAAATTCAACACGGTTTTATATATATATATATATATATATATATATATATATTATATATATATATATATATATTATATGCGAACCACGTTTGTCTCCATTTTCAGCTGTTATATGAAGAGCCAATATGTGAAAACTACATCAATGAAAAATATTGACTCCAATTCTTCCCTAAATTATTTACCCTTAACCATTTGTATTTGGGTGTTAATTTTAGAATCACATCGCGCTCAAATACCCTCGCAACAGCTTCAAGATATATTTAAAAGGTGTTAAGAATTCTTAATGTCTTTGTGTGTGCAGTTAAAAACAAGACTACCAATTGATGTCAATATTTTTAAAATGATGTGCTTCTTAGATCCCTAAACTTCTATTTGTTTAATGTTGCCTCAAAATTTGCAAACATTTTTGTGTCCGAATGTTCCATTAAAGCTAACTTATTATGCAGTACTAGCAGCAGAGACGCTACGTCTAATTTTGAAGTTGGAGAGTTTTGGGCGTCATTAAGTAAACTATAACACAATTATATGTCATGCTGACAATAAACCTCAACTTGGAAGTCCTCCTCAATATCGAACGCCAAATGTGAACGTATTTTCTCTGTTATAAATAGAATAAAAACAGAAGATTGTAAAAGATTTGATAATCAAAACGTTCCTGCAATTTTACACGCTAAGGAGGTGTTAAAGGAATCGGGAAATTGCACAAAATTTGAACATGGTACTGGTATTTCAATGTTGGAAACAATGAAAAATGAAAAACAATTATATAAAAATGTGAAAATTCGATGCCAATAACAATTAATACAAAAATTTTAATCATAAATCATTCATTAAATGTAGGGTTCATTAAAATGTGTTTTATTTCAAATCGTATCTACCCAAAACGGCTCAAATATTACACTAAAAATAGGAGATTTTAAAATGCGACTTAGTAGATTTTAGAAGTGTTTTTGGTAGATTCCCTTATTAAAAAGTGGTCACGCTGCTTATCACTTGTCACTGTCAGCGTTTAGCTTCGCACCTTCCTTCGTTCATTTCTTTCTTTTCTAACGTGACGTTGTATTGGAGGGAAGGGCAGTCCTTTGAAAATGTAAGTTATTGCAGAAAATCTGAGTAATCTTCCTACATTTTTAAATTATTTTAACATTGTTTTCATTTCAATACTAAATTAAAATGAAGGTTTAATATATTTTACAAATAAAGTTACAATTTACATTATGTTACATATAACCTCATACTGTTAATATAATTATTTCAGGTCGAAGGTATCGCGTGATACGCTATACGAGTGTGTAAACGCCGTTCTCCAGTCTTCAAAAGACAAAAAGCGTAATTTCCTGGAAACTGTTGAATTGCAAATCGGTCTGAAGAACTATGACCCCCAAAAGGACAAACGTTTCTCCGGCACTGTCAAGTATGTTTACCTGAAAAGAGCACTTTCGTGGACGAGGAATGTTACTTTTAACTTAAACATTGAACTTGTAACGATATTTCATTGACTACCACGTGTTACTTGTCAAAGGAAGGCACGAAACTTGCTTCACTTACGATAATTGTGTAATTGGCTCCTTTCCTATAGTTTATGTATTTCAATTGCTTAAATCTTAATATGTCCACTAAAATGCATCTGGACAGGGAGTCGGTTTTCACCGACGGGACTCTACCCAGAGTCTTAAAATAATGGGTAGGTATGCCTTTGGCTTACCAAAATTAATAAAACTTCAGTGATGTCTATCAAGTATGAGGTATGAAACAATGTTAGTTGGTAATATTTTCTTGCATTGAAAAACCCTTTCACTTTTAATTTATTAAACCTATTTGATCATAAGATTGTTTTTGGAAGTATATAGTAACCATACAGTTATGGATCCCTTCCGTTATTTGATATAATTTATAACTTAAATTGAAAATTTATAAACCCCTTAAACAAAAGAGCTGATGATCTTTAAGAGGCTGAAAAGATTTTCTTGAGTCATAGCTTAAGAACATTTGATCAAGACAACTTTCAAACAAAAAACTAAATTCAAACCGGATCATCTGTTTGCATCGGGGGCTAATAAGTGTTGATAAAATTGCATAAATGAACCTTTAATGATGAATTAAATTGCATGTATTATCTGATTGTCAATTGATGTCAAACATACCTCTGATACTTTATGTATTGTACTAACAATATTTTTTAGACATTCATATGCCTTAATTTTTTTATTTGTTTCTCAGACTAAAGTACATCCCACGTCCTAAGATGCAAGTTTGCATTCTTGGAGACCAACAGCATTGTGATGAAGCCAAGCAGTTAAATGTGCCATGCATGGATGCTGAAGCCTTAAAGAAACTGAACAAGAACAAAAAACTTGTCAAGAAACTGGCTAAAAAGTTAGTAGTTTTTGTGTTACGTTTGTGTGCATAAAAGTCATCAATGAAATAATAATGTGCTATATAACACATTGTCTTAATTTATAGTGTAATACTTCGAAAAAAAAAAACGCGGTTGCCAACCCGCTCGCTAAGCAATGCAATTATGGCAGCATACTCACCACCATATAGCTTGAAGAACCGAAAACTGATGGAGAAAAAAGGTTTTCTTGGATGGCAGCCTCGTACCGGTAGGTGTAGTGTAGGGCGACCCCCCGCTAGATGGAGTAACAACCTGGTAATATTAAGATAATAAATTTAATGCATTTAAATTTACGAAAAATTGTCTGGGTTTTCTTGCTGGTTCTTTCCAATATTAAGATTTTTTGTAATCAAACTAATCGAAAAAGTTAAAGATTATTTTCAATAAAATTTACCAATTATTTATCAACTTCTGTGTAGAAAATAAAACAGTTTTATTTATATAGAATAGCATTTTGTAGTGTTTCCTGTTCAGTCTTTTAAATCAAAATGCAGATGCATTGTCATCCCTGAGGACTAAGATGGAATGCTTTGATCCCAGTAAAATGGGTTGTCGGTTCTCTACACTCACCATACGAAATACAGCAGCATTAAGCTGCTATTTTATGCTGATTTTCTGTGAGAGTGTGATCCTTCCTCGGTCAAGCGACCCATTCATGCTACAACCATAATATAGCTACAGCATGGCTCTACCATGTAAAATACTTAAATGTTTAAAATCTGCAACAAGTTACGAGGGATCAAACTCAAATTTTAATCACATAGTTTTGTAGTTTACTTAAATGTGTAAAGTCGGCACCGGGTCAACAGGGATCAAACAAGTTTTACTCGCATAATTCAAAGTTTTAGATTGACACTCAGCCTCCGAACTACTAAAGCTATTAGATCTAAATATGTGAGTTGCAGAAACAAGCCTGTATAACTTTTTTTTTATTATAGAATAGGGTGACAAATGAGCACACAGTCCACCTGATGGTAAGTGGTTGCTGTGGCCCGTAGATATCTACATCTGTCCTCGATTATGAATCAAAATGCAAATGCATTGTCACCCGTGAGGACTAAGATGAAATGTCGTTTCCAGTAAAAGGGTATCCAGTTCTCTACACTCAACATATGAAACACAGCAGCATTAAGCTACTACTTTACGCTGGTATTCTCTGAGATTGTGGTCCTTCCCTGGTCGAACCGACCCATTCATGCCAACTATACTACTAACTGCAGCATGGCTCTACCACTAAAAACTTCACTTCCTCAATTCTCATATTATTAAAGGCTTCTATTACCATCATGTGATGTAATTTAAAAATAATGTTTCATTTTAGGTATGACGCTTTCCTTGCATCAGAGTCACTTATCAAGCAAGTTCCACGTCTATTGGGTCCCGGGCTAAACAAAGCTGGCAAGTTCCCTGGTCTTCTTTCCCACCAAGAGTCCATGACTCAGAAAATTGATGAAGTAAAAGCTACTATCAAATTCCAGATGAAGAAGGTAACATTATTTGTAGAATTTTTTTTTTTCAAATAAGGATTTCGATCTATACAATATGTAACATAATTAACGCACACCCTCAGACACTGAATTTTTAGTTAAACATTTTTATGCACTGATTATTTATCAAATTAATTATACTAATTCTGGAAGAATGTTGTGGTCACAGTACAAATCCACGAACGCAGACTTTAACATGCTTGAAATAAAGTTCATTTTTCTTCATTTTCATTGAATGACAGAATTAGTAATAATACAAATAAAACTGCACTCTTAAAAGTCTTATTGCCTTAAGTTACGGTCCATTTCAGTTTGTTTTGACAGATTTAGTATGACTAATTTACGTAGTTTTAATTATTTTTATATATTTAACTAATTCATTTAAAAAATTACCTATATTAAAAATGATAGGAATAGATTCAGTAAACGATTCTGAATAAACTACTTTCTCGAAGTGCATTAATTATGTTACATGTTGTATATACATGCAATTTATCTTTTGATAGCCATTATGTAATAAATGAATGTTTCGTGTCATAAATATCATTCCTTTAAATTTTTGTTGATTTGAAAATATGGCTTGTGACGCAACAGACTTCTATACAGCCAACATGCATATTATGTAGAATAATAATAGTAATATTAACACTACACAGTGATGAAAGTTGAATCATATCTATATATGTCACTAGAGTAGAAGGAAAGTAAGACAGTGCAATGCCAATATGGGCAACACATTATTTTCTGCCACTGTAGCTTAACCCTACACTTTGTGCATTACATTGCATTGCGAGATGCTTATATTATGAAGTTTCCATACTCTCATTAACTCCATAAAAGGCAGTGTTTATAAGCTCTAAGTAATATTTTCAGCATCTTTAACACATACACATTTGTTTGGTTTGAAGGAAGGTTTTAAGGTATTATAACACTGAATTGACAAACTTTCAGTCCACTTGACAGTAAATGGCTACTGTAATTTATTGACATCTGCATCTAACTTTTCCTGACATGGTGGCCAATCTCAACAGACACTAAGCCATCTATGCAGGATGGAGATTATAGTGCCTGGGTGTATTTCTGAGTGCAACCAGGCATGTTGTATATTCCCTCACTCTTATAGTTCTATGGGATGGCTATCCGATGACTAGAGCGAGATCAGCCACAAGACCTACGTCTTTACATGCTTTCCGAGGTATGTGGGGTGAAACAATTCCCATTACCCGGCTCTGGGCTGCTACTTAGAATTTCTGACAGAAAAACCCAATAACTGGTTTTGGTGCAACTCAAGATTGGAACCCGGTACATCATGATCAACAGTAGCACTTACAACCACTAAGCCAATGCGGCTGTCAAACGAGTTTAAAAAACTACAGATGTTTATTACCACTAAGATGGAATGCCTCACATCCAGTACATAATTATACTGGCTCTTTATACACTTGTAAGCAAGCATTACTATTTAGAGATAGAAATAGGCAAAAAGCACCTTCCAGATTTACATGGTCGAGTTATGGTAGCTATATTATGGCTTTAGCACGAAAGGATCATCTCGACCAAGGAAGGACCACACTCTTACAGAATACCAGCATAATGATGAGTGCAGAGAACCAGAAACCCCTTTTTACTGGAAACAGGCATTCCATCTTGGTTGTGAGGTAGATGTCTATGGACCATAGGAACCACTTTCCATCAGGTGTAACGAATATGTGGCACCTAAAATTCACTCTGTGATGTATTGCTGCTTACTGTCATCCGAATATTGGTGAGGAAGTGGTGGACTGTGTGCTGTCTTTTCAAACTTCTATAAAAAAAAAGCCCACCTATGCAGAAATGAGGTTCTTGGTCAGTAGTTAGTTAATGTTAATATTTACAAAATTAATTTTTCTTTCAGGTACTTTGCCTTTCAGTGGCCGTAGGTCATGTGGACATGACTCAAGATGAATTGGCACAAAATGTGCATCTATCAATTAACTTCCTTGTTTCGCTTTTGAAGAAGCACTGGCAAAATGTGAGGTCACTTCACATGAAATCTACTATGGGGCCACCCCAGAGACTGTACTAACTGTACTTTGTAATAAAATTTGACCCATAAAATTGGTTTTATTTTAAATAGCAATGCCCGCAAATGACTGCATAGAATCTTTCTAGTAATTTATTATGGTACCTATAATTATTTTGGGTGTAATTTATTATATTTAATAAACTAACATACCATACTGTTTCTTATTCACAGTAAATGGTATTAATATTTTTATTCATAAAAGGAGTAATTTCTTTATATTATAATCAATCATGTGCATGAATGACTGAAAACCTGAAGATACATTATACTTTCAATATTGCTTAAAATAAATCTAAGTAACATTTATGTGTACTAAGAAATTGTGAAAAAGTATCTAAGGAATACCTAGTTTTCAATATACATAACTATATTGTTTATCTGAGCCAGACTGTTGTGGCATCGGCTATTGTCGGCAACATCAAACATAAAGAGGTCCAGTGGAGACTATTGTCACCAGTGTTACCGATTCAACAGCATTTGAATAACTAGAATAATGTAAACAATATGATCCAGTCCGGGACTGAAGTGACACACTTTATTATCGGACTAGAATAATGTGAACTAGGCATATTGCTGTCGGTAGACCAGTTTTATCAAAGCAGATATGGTACAAGTCATAAAATAAACAGTCTATACATATAAATAGAAGTCTATATCTAATTGATTACATGCTATTAAGATATGGAAAACCATTTTTAATTTTATTGGTCAGTATATGTGTCCGGGCTAATCTTGGAAATGACTGGTTCAGATTGAAATGAATGATGGAACTTCACAAACAAATTATGAGTGCACTGCCAGGAGTACTTAACCTAGGCTGTCCATCCTTCCATACTTTTGCAGCTTATAAAAGTCCACTGCTGAACATAGGTCTTCCCTGACTCATAAGGGGGATTGCCATAATTGCCACGCTTGGTAACTGCAGTATTTCTATTAGTTTAAGTTGTTATCAGACAAACTAAGCTACTGTTGTCTCATGTTTCATTTCCCCCGTTGTCTCTTACGACACCCAACCTATATGGGGTGCTAGTAGATTTTAATACCTACGTCGCCACTTCTCGTCTTACTATACTAAATTCTTTAACCCTTTGAACGCCAACGACGCTTACAAGCGACAAACGTAATCGGCCGCTACAACGCCAACGTCGAGTTTAGGTGACAAAAAATGTGCTACTTTATAATCTGATATTATAGAAAATAGGTAAAAAGACTATATTTTTTTAATTTTGTCGTTGCTCCTCCGTATGTCACTTTAAATTGAACTAAAGTTAAGCTTTATATTGATAGTATTCTTTCCAAATTTGAACTTGTTTTAGGCGAAAATAACCTCAAAATATACGTTCACCTGACGCCTTTGTCGCTGAAGCTAAATAAATAAACTTTGAAGCGACACTAGTGATGGGGGTAAATTAACATTCTACAATTTACAAGAAGATTGTGCTAATTGAAATAAAACATTGATTAAAACTACAAAAATTGCGTCCATTGAAGAATTAGTGAAAAAAAAAAAGATAATTTGAAAAGTCCAAGTTTCGAAATGAAAATATAGAGGGTATGTTCAGAAATACAACGCAGTGTACTGTCCAATGCAAATGACGTATCATTTGATACTTTATTGTACTAGCGTGCCGCCGCCATATTGTGTCTGATATCCGGCCATAATAAAACAATTTTTAATTGTGTGTTTGCCGAATGAAGCATGCCAGAATTTGTTTCTATTTATTCAAATACAAAAAATTATAGAATAATTGATGGTATATCCATTAAGAGGATATAATGATTTTTGGAGCACAAAATGACAAAATAATCGCCAACACTTTTCCAAATGGCGCAAAAGTATGACGTCATATACTGTCCAATAGGAGTGGTCGTTACAAAACGTAACTAGTTACTGAAACTATCTACTCACACAATAGAGGGTAGCGGGTTATTGCAGTGCAACGAAACTATCTATTGCAGTACATGTTTTACTCAGTAACACGATTCACGAATCACGAACGAGCGATCAGTAACAATAACAAAACGTTTATTCGGCTATTTTCGCGACGCATCGGCGACGGCTTCGGCTGTTGTAGTAGAAGCACATGAGTAAAGAAACCGACCATAGAAAACCGACTCTTTACGCTGTGGTACAAGTACCAATCGTCGTCGAATGTCGAGTGAGCGCGGGTGCTTTTGCATTTGACCTATGACTCTATTCCCTTCGTATAGATGCGATATTAGAAATGAGAAAGTAAGTGTGCATGTTTTTAACAAAAAATAGTTCAAATTCCATAATTTAAGTGGCCTTGGCCCGGTTTAAATTAGTCTTGTGTATAAGTTTAATGACACGGTTTGTTTTTACTTTTTAGGCGCGTTTGTTAATGTTTTTGTTTTCTTTTTTGTGCAATAATAATAATATCTTTAGTAAAATAAGAACTAAATACAATTGTATATATTAGTGCTAATAATAATAATTGTACAGTAATTAGTGTAAGTAACTAAGTGTAAAAATAATACTAAAACTTTATGTGATAGTATTCAAAAGTATCTCGAAGCCAGTGTACTTTGGGACTTTTTTTTACAAAAGATACTACAACCATGAAGGCCAATATTCTATAAAAACATCAATACATGTATTCATTCATTTGATTTATTACATAAAAATGTAGGCTTGAGATGTCTAAAAATAAGCATTGTAATAATTATTTGCTATAAAATAAAACTTATATTCAATATTTTATGCTGAACTTGTCGGTGAATTTATCATAATAATAATTATTAAATAAATCGTTTGCCGTTAAATCTTTTCACTTGAAATTTTTATCAAACCGTGCGAAATGATTAAACAAATAAATAAATTTAAACATTAACACCATGTCTAATTCTATACGAAACGGTAACAAACAATTTTCTCGTGACACGGACATCGTTTCATTCGCAATGTTTTTCAATTAAACACGTCGTGAAACACCCTACTGAAGCCGCTATTAAAATAGAGTGTTTCAAAAGCCGCTATTGATATTCGATAGATAGTTTCGTGTCGTTACTCAAAAAAGCCGCTACTACCCACCGCTACTGTCCAATGTTTTGGAACGAATCACCAGTATAGCGTCGATTCATGACGTCATTTGCATTGGACAGTACACTGCGTTGTATTTCGGAACATACCCAATAGATTCTCAACCATTGTCTACAAGTTTACTTTCCAACTTGCCGAAAAAAAGAAAGAAAACTACTGAAAAGGCAACTCAGTGTGAAGAATGTTTCGTCAATTACAAACGAACATCCGAGTTCGAAATAGAAGTGAATGTCGATGCACTCCATCCTACGAGATTTATCTGTGAACGGCCTTCGGTTATTAGAAACGAATATTTTGCTAGTTTAGTTGCATTTGAATTGGAAAAAATAAGGCCTGAAGAAAGATACATATATGTCTACGGGCAGATCATAAATACGATCAGGAGTTGCCGTGGTGAAAATGAATTTCCGTGACTTTCCGTATAAATCCATAGTACAACAGTTTGCTACAAACGTGTTTATTACAATACGTAGAATGTTGTATTAGAATATTGTAGTAGAATTTTTTGCCCCGACTATAAAATACGTAGGAACGAAAAACTGCCACATTACAAATATTTTTGACAGGACGAAGTCTGTCGGGTCCGCTAGTATTTTATATATTATTATTACATCCCTGAAATAACCGTATTTTATTTAAAGCCATACGCCATTGACGCTTTCAAGCGACAAGTATTGACGTCAATCTCATTTAACGGATGCGCTTTGTTTGATAAAACTTGTTTTAGTGAAGTTTTAACTGTGAAATTAGTTTGTTAATTTGATTATTTCATTCATGTAGGTTAATTAATGCTATTATTATAACATTTATTTAATAAATTTAACACCTACATATGGAATATCTATTGCAGTAGCAGTGATAAAGGTTTATCGATATTTATTAATATCTCATCACTAGCATTTTGTAGGTATTTAATAGTGAATAAAAGGCTAGAGAGCATAATTCCCATGCGCTGCGCTTGGCGTTCAAAGGGTTAATATATATATATATATATATATATATAAAAAAAAAAATATATGGGTAAGACCGTAGATTTTGCCACTTAGTAACATAGAGTAATATAGACACTTTTATGTTACGGTAACATAGAAGTAACGCGAAAGTAACGTGTAATGTTTGTAAGGCCGATTGCATAACGCGCTATTTTTAGCAGACTTTAAAAAGGAGGAGGTTTCGACGCATAAGCTAACTGTACAATTCGCCAACTGTGAGAAGTTCAGTGATAGAAAAAAAAATAAGTTGAAAAATGTCTAAAACTATCAACAGCTTAGAGTTATTACACAACCATGAAATCTGACCAAGTTTACCAAATATCAGGAAAATAATACTACGATATAAGTGAAGTAACAAAAATATTTAATGTCATGGATAGAGTTTCTCAAAAACTCTTCTAACGAAAACAAAAAAAAACGAAATAACATTCATTATAATATGATTTAAACCTATAAAATAAGCTACACAATGAGATCAATAGTGTTTCGTGAAATCACAAAATTAGAACAATATAATCTTTCTCTAAAAGTTTTTACAATTATCACACGGGTTATCTTCTTAAATAAAATAGTAGGTACATTTCTAGGAAACTAACTAATAATGGTATTTATTTTGTTATAAAATTGAACCTACGAAATGTTTCTTAGAATCTGTAGTTAAAAAATACTTTAGAAATACGAGTAGGTAATTACAACAAATTTAAAATTAAAAAAAATCTCGTAGCCAAATGAAATAACATAAAAAAGTAAAAACAAAAACTACATAATTCTCTTTAACCTAGGTACAGACGCCAGAACATCAACCTACCCCAATCTGTCAAATTTTCTCAATCGAACATGAACCGTCTAATTTTGAGAAATTTGACAGATTGGAGTGGGCTAATGTGCTGGCGTCTGTACATAAGAGGTCATTGCAATACAAAACCTTTCTTACACCTTATAAATAAATATTCAACAATTAAAATAAACCAAATCAATATCGGTACTCAGGTAATATTCTTTAGAGGCTTTCTCCCGTTGAATCAAATTTACCTTTTTTGAAGATAGAAATATTGGTCACTATATCAATATCTGATTTTCTTTGGACTACAAACTTCACGGAATCAGATAAATCCTTCACAGTTTTCAAAAATTTTACTTTATAATAATTTTCTCCGTTCTTAAATTCTATATTCTCAACAAATCCTACAAAATATTTCCACGTTTTCCTTTGGAAATATCGAACTATTATGCTATCATTTATATTTAAAATAAAGTTCTGCCTATTTTCTTCACTCTCACTCTTGCTTTTTTTCCTTCTTCCTTTGTATTCGATTTCTTGTCACTTTCATCTTCTTTTAAATTCTCAGATTTGTTTATTTTATCTAAATCTGTTTTCTCCATATGTTTATATTTATCTGCGTCTTGTAAAACTTCATCAGTATTATTTTGTCCTCTCATGCTTTCAAGTTGTTTTTTATATTCAGTCTCAATTGTATAATTTTCTTTATTTTCATCAGCTTCTTTTCTCTCTTCTTCTGCGATAACAATTAGAATTTCCTTGCTTTCATCTTTCTTAGTACATTCAATCTCAATTTTGTGCTTCTCTTCTATTAGAAACTTTTCTTTCAAATTCTTTTTGATCTCTTCTTTGGTATCATTTTTGTTTTCCCTGTTCTGGTCGATTTTTCTTTTATCAGTCTCAATTTTGTTACTTCTTATTTCCTTTATCGGGTCTTCTTTTCCAAATAAATAACTCTCTCTTAAATCATAACTCGCAGTATTGTCCGGGTTTTTTCTTATTTGTGACAAAATTGTCACATCATCTTTCCCAGTAACATGTTTCGTAGTTTCGCAAAATCTTTTATGGATTAAATCTTCATTTTCACAAATTATTTTTCTTTTCCTTTCATGTTTAGGATTATTTTCAGCATTAGATTTCTTTAAAATTATTGTGGATAGCAGAGTGACTTTCTTGTTTGGATTAATTTTTGGCCTCAGAGCACCTGTTTTTTCGTCAAGTTCTGTGATTAGATTGTTTTCATGGTCGTTAAAATCTGGACTTATTGACTCATCAGAAAAAAAACGCCGAGGCGTCGCTTTCCGCATACTCAATACTATCATCATATTCGTCTTCTTCGGTTGATGAACTGAAACGCCTTCGCCTAGTTTTATTGCTATTCTTTGAATTTTTAACTTCCTTTTTCTTTTCACATTTTTCTTGTTTATTCGATGTGTGTTTTTCGTTTGCGTAAATAGTGGGCAAAAAGCTATGAGCTACAGGTGAGTGACATTCACAGTTGCCTCTAGGATCCCCACAGAAACAGCTGAGATCTCTGTATTTGAGTTTCAGCTTTTCTATTGTTATCAGCTGATGAATTTTCATTGTTTGCGGCAAAGGACTAAGCTTTGTGTGTAAAGGCTTGATGTTAACAGAAGAAATATAAAATAATTTGATACTTGTGTCCTCCGATTTCAAAATATCAAATGCTGTTTCCGCATTTGGGATGTCTTTCCCCTGAGCGATTTTGGCATCTAGAGTTCGTTTAATGGCCCCTCCGATACCATCAGGGGCACCTTTTCCATGGGCGGCCTCAAAAAACGACCAATTACAATGACTAAACCCATATTCATAGACTTTTTCACTGAATAAGTAAAAGTTTTTTTTCTGTCTATACTGGGTCGTTGGGCCATCAGAGAAAAAGTGAATGTTAAAGATGTTTGGATAGTTACTCTTTATGTATTGTAAAACAGGATCGAGGTGGGCCCATATTGCCTCTGGATTGTGTTGGTTATCGGCGGATATAGAACAGAAAGAAATAGGTTTATTCTCTCCTTTAATGTAAATAACTCCCGTATGAAGGGTAATCTATTCTTTTATGAAATGCATTGCCTGTATTTCTTTATGGTATTTGCAGGTGAAATTTTCAGAGAAATCTATATGGATACATGCTTCATCACTTTTTAAATTATTAATGCAATCTTTGTATTTTTTATATTGGTGATAAAAATTAAAAATATGTGTTTTAAATTGTTTCATTTCCGCACTAAATATCTCAAGTAAGTCTTGTAAAGTACCCTCTTTCTTAATTTTTATTATCTTTTTAATTTTCTTCTTTTCTCCTTCCTTTTCATATTTTTTAAAATCCAAGTAAACCAGCTTACTTTAGCCGACAGTTCTTCGTTACCAACTTTTAATTTAATTTCTGAACACGTATTACAATTATTATACATGCAATCTTTTGAGTAAAAATCACATACTAAATCTGTTGTTACCTCATTCAGATTGTCAGTTTTAAGTACGTTAAGGGATTTCAGTTCATCAACCAGAAATTGCATATTATAATGTTTTTTGCACGCTCAACTCTCACAATCCTTGATTTTCGGAGAAAGTACGTAAAACGGGCGGTACTTTTTGAAAGTACTGAAACTTATTTGGACCTCTTCTGCGATAAACTTTCTATGAAGTACGATTAGTTTGTCTAGCAAATATCTCTTTTGGCGTGTAACTTTTTTGAAGGTTCTGTATTCTTTTTTGCCTGCAGTGGTGCGGCTAACATCATCTCTGTTAAAAAAAACATTCAATTTTCTTTTGCAATGCAGTGGTTCTGGTCTTCTGATGACGGTAGTTTTTGCAATTACTCTTAAATCCCAGGGAGGTCCTTAATCTTGTTTTCAGTTTATATTTCTTCACAATGTTGTTATCCAAAACTTTTCTCAAAACATTCTTTTCGGTATTGTTAGCAGTTTGGAATTGTAATTTTAGTGACTTCGTTAGTACATCGTCTTCTAGTAGTTTCTTCTTAACTTCTTCTTTTTTGGGAGTTTCAATGTTAGGTATGTTATTACTTATAAACTCTGTTACTTCTTTCCTCGGTGTTTTCTCTTCTAATTCTCGCGTATATGTTTCCTGTGTTTCATCTGTCGTGATTAATCTAGAAAAATTAATAAATTTTCGTAATCTGCCTGCATCTTGTCTATTTTCTTTTGTTGTCTATTCGTTTTTTTCTGAAGACTTTTGAAACCTTTAGTCAATGTGTTTAACTGTAAACTCAGTTGTGCAGTTTCTTGTTTCAGTCTGTATTCTATTCGGCGTTGCATATTACGGCAAGTTAATTGGTTATTATCTTGCTTGGAATTTGAAGTATGTGCCATACCCGGTTCATTTTGTGATGCCATTTTTGCATCTTTTGCTTTTTTCCGATCTTCCTTCCTTATTTATTCCGTAATTCTTGTTTGTGCTCTTCAGTATAGGTACTCTTTTTTTCTCATAGTAACGTGCAGATCTTTCTTTGGCCTTCTTTTGTATTTCCTCATACTTTTGAGGGTTTTCTTTTTTCAACTTATCGCGATATTTTTTCTGCTTTTCAGCTGCAGTCGTCGGCGGCATCTGTGACAATGTTTATATTGTTTTATTGTTAATCAGAAAAGTAAAGGGATAGTATGGTTTAAGGGCTCTAATTCATTCATACAGTCATGTTTAATACATTGACTAAGGGTCACACTACCCGCCTCGCAACACATTTTTTGTACGTATGTGTATCTCTCTTTAACGCTAATCGACATCCTTTGCTAGAAAGAGAAGACCGTTCGCGCGAATATCGAAGTAAACATTAAAAAAGTAAAAACAAACTTTAAAAAAAAATACGTGGTAAACAGTTAGATTTGGTTTAATTTTTAGAAACAATTGGCATCGATATCCTTAATTGTTTTTCACAAAAGATTAAACTTTATTCTTTTTGAAGTCGTTTTTTACTTTTTTTGAGTTTATTTTATTTTTCCACTTAGTGGCACAAAAATATGGTTTAAAAACCTTTCTTTTTCAGTTTCCACGAATGTCCAAACTACTTAAATGACACAAATTAATTAAGGCAAATAAACTACTCTTGTCTTATGTGTTTTTTGAATTTCGTAAAACAATCTATACCAATAAATAAAAGTATAAGTAGATAATTAGTAACTGCTTGGAAACCAAATAAAAAAATGCCCTCTGTATATCAAATAAAAAAATTACTGAGTGGATTTTTCATTACTCTACATGATCAAAACTTAAAAAAAGGTAGATATTTTTTACAAAAAAGTATATTTAATAAATTACATATGCACAAACCTTTACAACAGTAAAACGTTACGAAACATACAATCAACGTTACCAGTGACATCAAAGCTACATAGAAGTAACGTTAAAGTGCGATTTTTCAAGGTTATAAATAGACATAACTCGACATCAAGGTGAATTTTAAACATAGACACATTACCACGCACTTATTAGTTACTCGTGCATAATAATATATAATATGTGAACAATAAAAACTGATATTTACCTTTGAAATCGCCAAAATTCACAATTAAAATTCACTGACGAAACACACGCGTGCACCTTTGACAGACTTCCGACACGACAAGATGGCATTTTTTTTTTAAATTGTGCTGCCTGAATACTTAGTGTTGCCAGTGCAATTACAAAACACTATCAAACTGTTTTCAATGCTTTGTAAGGGAAAATTTTGGTAACATACAAAGTAGTAACGTAGAAGCAAAAATATGGAACATAAGTTTAAATAGTAATAAATATATAAAAAAACGCGTTATTAAAGACATAAAAAGCACGATGTAGTAGCTTACTATTAAGAAATTTCAGATAGTCACAAATTAATTAAACGTTCATTACAAAAATATAAGTTTTATAGTTTAAATGCTAAAAAGACAGCATATTTTTCGTTAAATTTGGGAGTCTGGACGAATTTAACTCGTTGTATTTTTTTAATGTACAACTTATATTAATATTAAGAATATGTTGTAAGAGTTTAAGAGATGTATAACCTAATTAAAATACCTCCATTACAATTTACCCACTATGTTGTTTTCTATAAGCAATGAAAATATGAGAATATTTTTTCATCAAAAAGTGGCAAAAACGACGGCCTCACCCATATATATATATATATATATATATATATATATATATATATCTCATCATCATCATTACAGCCCTTCACAAGTCCACTGGTGAACATAGGCTTCCCCCAAGTAATGCCACAAAGCACGGTCCTTAGCCACCTGCATCCATCGACTTCCTGCATGTCTTACCAGGTCGTCGCTCCATCTTGTGGGGGGCCGCCCTACACTTCGCCTACCGGTACGAGGCTGCCACTCGAGAACCCTTCTTCCCCAACGGTTGTCGGTTCTTCGAGCTATATGACCGGCCCATTGCCACTTCAGCTTACTAATCCGTTGGGCTATGTCGGTCACTCTGCCGGGCTAGCATGAGCAGGGGATAAAAATTTTATCCACCGATTATATCCACTGACAAGGGATAAAACTGTCTTATCCCTATGTCAAAGTTTTATCCACCCTGCAAGCATGGGCCTATGGTGGATATAATATCGACAGTAGATAAACTTATCCCCGCGCATAGATAATATACCATAGTATAAAGTTATAAACTATACTAGCTATAAACTAGTTTTAAGATTAAGTAGATTTACAATAACTTATATTTTCTTTTACCTTTTGTTTATTATATTGCTAAACTGTTCATAATTTTTGTTAAACAATATGTCATTTATAATATTTGTTATATTTATTTTAAGCGTATTTCTGCCTTGTTTTTATTTTTTCTATTATTCTAATTCTTTCTTTATTTTCTTTTGTATAATATTTAAAGCTTGTATCAAATCGCAGGTATTACTTCGCTTGTGATAGCATTTATTAAAAAATATGTGTTTAGAATCAAGCCAATTGTGAAACTGGACAATACAGACCCTTTGGAGGTGGTGTAACCTCTTGAAGAAATTAAAAAAAATATATCCCCGCAATTACTGCCATTATAAGAAAATTACAAAATACATCAAAATTGATGTCTACTCTAAGTCCCAAAGATTTAATTTTAATTGAAAATGATGAAGCATGAAGAATAAAAATGTAATGATTTCAAACAAAACAAGGAATAAATAAATAAATTCAATAATAAATAATAAAATAATAAATAATAAAAATCATGAGTATAGTATATTTAGCAAGCTTTGCTAAAGAATTAACATATTTCTTAATTTAAACATTTGAATTGTAACTTTACTAAGTTTGATAACTTTATTTTAAAACGTTACCTAAAATATAGTATAGACCGATTCTATTATCATTAAATTTGACTTGACCATGGACTCGCTTTGGGTATTGTTGACACAACCTATGTAATTAAATCATGGCATTGAGCTATTACCGGTAGTACCGGTAGGCGTAGTGTAGAGCGACCCCCCACTAGATGGAGTGACGACCTGGTAAGACATGCAGGAAGTCGATGGATGCAGGTGGCTCAGGACCGTGCTTTGTGGCATTACTTGGGGGAGGCCTATGTTCAGCAGTGGACTTGTGAAGGGCTGTAGTGATGATGATGATGATGATGATTGAGCTATTGAGAGTTTTTTGGACAAGGTGGTTGTAATAGATGCTTACTTCAATATGCACTGGTAGTCCATCCACGGAATTAATAGGCTTTAAAGCCTCATAGAGTTCTTTACACAAATACAAAACAATCTTTAAGCATCCGAAACCGGCGTAGAAATTCGTTTTCGGAGAATTCCAATAGATTAAGTATTCTGATCACGTATCGATCGCTGATGTAATTCTCTTTCTTGTTTTTCAATTTCTGACACGAAAATGTAGTTGCAATAGGCTCGAGACATCTTTTTTGTATTAAAATGGTATGAAGATAAACTTAAACCCACGTCCGCGAAAGAGGATAAAATTGTCCCTTTCAAATGTCAAAAAGGGATAATTTTTTCTCTTTCCCTTGGCCCCATGCTACGGACGGGGAGATATATGTCCACTCGTTATGTCAAACGGGGATATACTATAGAGATAAGATAATTTTACCTCTTGTCAGTGGATATAATCGGGGGGATATAATTTTTGTCTCTTGCCCATGCTCGCAGGGTGGATAAAACTAAGCAAGGGATAACAATTATATCCTCTCTCCGGGGATATATTCTCTCCGGCTCATGGTAGCCCGGCTGGTTCTACTGCGGATATCCTCATTTCTAAGTTTATCACGCAGAGAAACTCCGAGCATAGCCCTCTCCATAGCTCGCTGAGCGACTTTGAGCGTCCTCATACGGCCAGCAGTGAAGGACCACGTCTCGGTTCCGTAAGTCATCACTGGCAACACGCACTGGTTGTACAACTTAGTTTTCAGGTTTTGAGGTATACCTGACGAGAAGATGTGTCGTAATTTCCAGAACGCTGCCCAGCCGAGTTGAAGCCGTCGATTGACCTCTCGGTCGAAGTTGGACTTACCTAGTCGGACTATTTGTCCCAGGTAAACGTACTCGTCAACAACTTCTAGCATAGTGCTACCAACAACTACCGGCATAGGTGTGACATGGACATTAACCTTTTGAGCGCCACGCCAAAAACGCAGGTACCGTGTCCTGTACGCCAAAGCGAAAAGTAAACAAAAATACCTACGAAAAAAATAGTGTTGCCAAGAGTTGATATATCGATAACACAAAATAACTTGTTTTTGTTGGTTTTTACGCTATAAATGACTCTTTATTAATCTTGTGCTGTCTTCCACTCTTTTTATATATGTACTTTGTGCATAAATAAAAAACAAACAATAACAATAAAATAGTGGTAAACCACAGAATTACTCTTCTTTGTGATGACGTCACTGTCACGACTGGACGACAACGGCGTAGCTGGCCTTCCTTTTTGAAACTTCCTTATAGAGATGTAGCCGTATCGCACGTTGTGTATCGATTTCGAAATCGATCTAACCAAAATATATTCAAATTCAAATCGTTTATTGCATCTATAATTTACAGTACATTAGCAGTTACAGTGACCATTATAGACCCTGTCGGGCGTTGCAATAGACAAAAAATATACAATAAAATAATTAAATGGACTTATAACTATGCAACATCATTATAATCTTCACAACATAAAATTTATGCAAATTGGCTCATGTAAAGTAACATGTATTTGGCTATTTTGAAAATAAAATTTCATTTAATACTTAGTAATTTGCTGCTTAGTAATTAACTATCAAAAAATTCCGTGAGCGTGGAAAAGCATTTAGAAATAAGATACCTAATCATGAAGATTTTTATTGAATGAACTCAATTTAACTTCAGATTTTATATTTATGGGTAGTTTATTCAACATTTTAATTGCCATGTAATATGGGCTACAATTGAGCATTTTGGTTCTAGATGGGGGTAAATATAACCTATCTTTATGCTTAGTATTTACATTGCGTGTTTCTTTTATCGGGGTGAAGAAGTATCTATTTTTAAATACGAAGTTACTTATATCTTTTATGTAAATAGAAACTTAGGTTAATAATTTAAATTTAATGAAATAGGGTCGGCAGCTATGGCTGTTATC